GGCCCGGGTTCGATCCTCAGCACCACATACAAAAAACAAAGATGTTGTGTCTGCCGATAACTAAAAAATAAATATTAAAGTTCTCTCTCTCTCTCTCTCTCTCTCTCTCTCTCTTAAAAAAATTCTGGAGATGGATGATTGTGGTGGCTGTACAACAGTGTGAGTGTACTTAATGCCACTGAAGTACACTTCAAAATGGTAAAAATGGAAAACTTTAGCCAGCGTGGTAATGCACACCTCAGCTCCGGAGGCTGAGGCAGGAAGATCACAAATTCAAAGCTAGCCTCAGCAATTTAGTAAGACTCTGTCTTAAATTTTTTTTAAAAAGGCGGGGTGGGGATGTGGGTTAATCCTTAGTACCAAAAAAAAAGTAGATTTTTTGTTTATTTTTATCACTATTAAAAGTAATAAGGGCCGGGGTTGTAGCTCAGTGGCAGAGTGCTTGCCTAGCATGTGTGAGGCACTGGGTTTGATTTTAGCACCGCATATAAATGAATAAATAAAAAAAATAAAGGTCCATCAACAACTTAAAAATTTTTTTAAAGTAATAAGAAAAAAAAGTTATAAGATTCAGAGCCCAAATCATATGCATACTAGGGACAAACACAATTAACTCAGGAACACACTACATGCCTGCCTCCCTCCCAGGAGTCCTTCTATTATCCAGATAAGGTGCTGGTTCTCCCCTTCCAACAAATCTGGAGATAAGGCCCTAATGAGGGCCCTGCCACTTCAGCAGCCCCCACAGCTCATCATCCTCCCACAGTCTGACTTTGTTTACCCAACTACCTGCCACTCATGCATCCTCCCCACCCCTGGAGAAAAGCCTCCTTAGGGGGTCTGGTGCTCCAATTTCTGCCCCTGAACTTGGGATAGAAAGAAAGCATTTTAGCTTCTGGCCTATGGCTTGCCTATGTCTCCCCTGAACCTCTCGCCTCTAGGCCCCATGTCCCAACTCCCCATGCAAGTTTCTGTTCTCATAAAGCAGAAAAAGCAAGTGCAGTCAGTACTGCATAGGGTGGAGCCCCGGCTTTAGGTCTCCTGCTCTCCCGCCATCCTCATCAGACTTTACCCCTCTGTGGAAAGTGACCCCTTGTGCCTGGCCCACTCCTCGCCATCTGCAGCTACCAGAGGCTGACCCCTCTCTGGAGGGAAGCCTCTAACCATCCTCTGAAGACAAGTGTACATTCCCTCTGGCCCTTGCTGGGGAAGAGGTGCCTACCCGATTTTCTTCCCACCCTTCCTGTGTGTCCACACCCTGTGAAACAACCTTTTACACTCTAACCATTTAATACTCAACTCCAAGCCAGGTATCATGGCCCATTCTTGTAATCGCAGCCACTTGGGAGGCTGAAGCAGGAGTATAACAAGTTCAAGACCAACCTCAGAAACTTAGTGAGATCCTGTCTCAAATAATAAAGGGCTGGGGTTGTGGCTCAGTGGTAGAGCGCTTGCCTAGCACATGTGAGACCCTGGGTTCGATCCTCAGCACCACATATAAATAAATAAAGGTATTATGTCCAACAACTAAAAAAAATAAATATTTAAAGGAAAAGAAATAATAAAAGGAGTAGGGATACAGCTCAATTGTAGAGCACTTGCTTAGCATGTGTCAGGCCCTGGGTTCAATTTCCAGTGCTGCAAAACAAACCAACAAACGAAAACTTAATTCATCCCAGAGGAGAAGTGGAGGGTTGGATCCTGACTCCCACCAGACCAAGAGCATCCCTGGAATTGAGGGTGCTGGAAACATAGCCATCTGGAACAGCATGTCTCAGGTTGACAGACCCTGCTGCACCAGAGCAAGTGTTAAGGCAACCTGTAGACCTTCTCAGGATTTCAGGCCTTCTAACTCAGAATTTCAGGGTAGGTGGAACCTGAAGGACTCCATTTAAATATTTCCTACCATTTTTGGCACAGGGGAGGCTTCTATTCCATATTCTTGGATGGATGGGCTCAGAGCCAGAGTGAGGGTGAGGCAGGGAGCTATGGGCACCACGATTATGGGAGCAAAGAGGCCTAAGTGGGGGACAAATGAGTGTTGATGTCTTTGGCTGTTCTCTGTGACACTCTGTTCAGCCCTTATCTGGGGTGTGTGTACATGTGGGCCATGGCATGCACTATCCATGGTGGTGTATTTGGGATTATGGCCAGGGTTTAAATTAGTATTGGGGCCTGGCAACATGAGTGAGTTGGATGAAAATGTGTGGTCTACAGGTCAGCCTGTCGTCTATGTAATTGGTCAGTTGTGTTATTTATTGTGCATTCATGTCTTTATCTGGGTGTCTTTGAGTCATACATCCATCATAGAGTGTGTATGTGTGTGTGTGTGTGTGTGTGTGTGTGTGTGTGTGTCTCTGAGCAAACCCAGCCTCTCTGGACCGTGACCCAACCTCCCTGTGTCCTTAGGTTAGAGCTGGAGACTTGCTAGGAGCTGGTGGGATGGCATTGCTGGGGAGGGGAGGGAGGCAGCAGCATGCACTAAGGGCCTGGCACTGCCGCTTCCTTAGGCAGGCGAGTCCCAACAGTAGGCAGACAGGTGGGGCTGACCTGACAGGTTCCAGAGGCCAGGGGCAACAGGGCGGAGCCTGGCTCTGACTTAGTATGGAAACGGGCTGGGGGGCCCCCACCACACACAGGGCAGGCAGGCAGGAGGTGGTTCTGCCAGTATCTTCTTCCTGCTGCAGCCAACCTAGGTGCAGACCATGGAGCCTGGTGCTGGGTGAGGCAGCCAGCTGGGCAGGCATGTTGGGAGGCCTAGGGCCTGGAGGGACCCAGGACATGGCAGGATACCTGCGGGGCCGGGTGGAGGAGCTGAAGCGGCCGTGGTGGCGGGAGAGCTCACCCTTGGTGCTGCAGCACAGTGAAGCAGCCCGGCTGGCAGCTGACGCTCTCCTGGAGCAGGGCGAGGCGGCCTACCTACGGGTCATCTCTGAGGAGCGGGAACTGCCTTTCCTGAGCACCCTGGACATAGACTACATGACAAGCCATGTGCGTGGGAGCCCTGAGGTCAGCGAGGCTCAGGGTCCTGAGGCCTTAGGACCTGACCGCCTCAGCATGCTTTCTGAAGTCACTTCTGGCACCTACTTCCCCATGGCTTCTGACGTAGACCCCCCAGACCTGGACCTGGGTTGGCCTGAGGTTCCACAGGCCACAGGCTTCAGCCCCACCCAGGCCGTGGTCCACTTCCAGAGGGACAAGGCCAAGAACATCAAGGATTTGCTTCGTTTCCTCTTCAGCCAGGCCCGCACGGTAAGGAACATATCTCTTCATTCATTTCACAAATGTGGAAACTGAGGCCCAAGGAGGGAAGGGACCAGTACAAGCCCATACAGCAACTAAGGAGAGGACTGGGACTAGATCTCCTGACTTCTATTAGATCCCAATGTACCAGAAGGTGGGCATGTGTTTTATTTCCTTTGATAGCCCTTTGGCACTCAAGAACTTTATGGATAAGCATAGAACAGGGCATGGGCCTCTGGGACTCTCACCCACCCTGAAAATACATGAAGTTATACATATTGCAGAGAGGGGCCCTTATGGCATTTTTCTTGGGAGAGAGTCCAGGGCCTTCACCAGATTCTCAGAAAGTTTAATGATCCCCAAACTAAAAGCCCAACCTCAAAGAACATCTGAGACACTCCCTTGACTAACAGAGAAAGAGACTAAGGCCAGGGAAAAGCTGGGACTTGCCCAGGGACTTATCAGGTTAAGGGAAAGAGAAGGGGTCTCTGACTCAGGCCCTTGTCCCCGGCTACCTCTCACCCTCCTGTGCTCTTTCCAGCTGGGCCTGAAGCAAGGGAGGGGGCACTGCGTGAGGGCCTCAGCATGCACTAGAGGGCTGGGCATTTAGCTCCACACCAAGGAGGAACAAGAAATGGAGGCCTCTGGGCTCAGAGGAAAGACAATGGGAGAGCAAGTAGAGGTGGTCATGCCTGGTGAGTCTCCAGCCACACAGCAGCACAGCTTTACTCTGCAGACCTGGCCTCTATTCAGGAGACAGGAGAATGGACACAATGACCCCTGGAAGGATTTGAGGTGGGGATAGACTCCTGCTGCAGAGATCAGAAGCCAGGATGCCAGGATCCACTGGTACCTCCACAGCCCAACTGGCAAGCCTGTCTGTGCCCCAGGCAGGGGAGGGCCAGGCCTGATTGGCATCAGGAATGGGGTTATTAGTGAGGTTGTTGTCATCACTATCCCCCTTTGATCTTTCCTGCCTGTCCTTGTTCCCTACTTCTGGCCAGGTCTGTGATGTAGACTAGGGAAACCCCAGTGCTTTTCCTATTCACTCCCATTTATACCCTTCCACCCTGGGCTAGAAGCCAGGTTCCTGCACTGGGCTGTCACCGTCTCCCAGAGTGCCCTTGGGAAGTACTTCCTTTTCCCAAGGAAAGGCACATTTATTGAGCTTCTGTTGTGTGTCCATCATTTTCATATTTAATTCCCCATAACTCAGAATGCAGCTATCATTATCTCCCTTTAGCAGATGAGGCAGCTGAGGCTTTTGGAGGTGAAGTGATTCACCCAAGGCCCTTTCTATCTCTAGGAAGTGGCAGAGTCCAGGTTTTTTTCCAGTTCTTCTGGCTCCAGACTCATAATACTGGGATCTTGACTTCCTGCCTCTCAGCCAGGCTTGTACCTACTGTCTCTCAGCCCTGCCCAGGAAAGGAAAATCTCCCAGTAAATACATGCAAAGGGAAGAAGGCACGGGAGACTGGGAGTACCAGAGAGGTTTCAGGGCTTCTCGAGGTAGCCCTTTATATGGGAGAGGGGCACAAGCCCCAGCCCTCAACTAGGCAGAAACTCCATTCCACTTGGCATGAGTGGACGTAAGGGAAACTGTGAATATAAGGTATTACATAAGACATATGTAGCTTCACAGAGAAACTGAGGCAGGTTTAGCAAAGGGCTTTGAGGAGCCCAGCAACTTGCTTATAGCTCTTAAGAGGGGAGCCTTAGCCTTCCAGCCCCTGAGCCAGAGACAGGGCTGGAGTTAGTAGGAAGAGTATGAGGATCTAGGCTGGGAATCAGGATTTGGGATCTGTTTCTGATTCCTCAACACAGAGTGGGACTTTGGATTAATATAGTTGATCCACAAGCACCTTTGAGTATCTGGTGAGAGATAAACACAAAGACCTTCATATAACCAAGGTTCAAGACAAGTCAAATCTCCCTGTTGCCAAGTTAAAAACTCCATGTTAGGGATTGCTGAAAGCCCTTCCTATTCAGATATTCTCACAGGCTCTGGTGGCCTCTGAGTTTCCATACCATTATTCCTTCTTGGAACTGGGCTGGACTGGATAGGATGCAGGCAGTGCTCTGGGCAAGGCTGAGCTTCCCTTTCTTCTAGGTGATAGCTGTGGTGATGGACATATTCACTGACATGGAGCTTCTGTGTGATCTCATGGAGGTTTCCAGCCGGCGTGGTGTCCCTGTTTACCTACTCCTGGCCCAGGAGCACCTGAGGCACTTCCTGGAGATGTGCTATAAAATGGACCTCAATGGGGGGCATCTGCCGGTCAGTGTAAGCCAAGAATTGTAGTCAGGGAGGTGGTGGGGAGTCAGGAGGGTAGAAGATCCAGTGGGTGATCAATGATCACGAGAGGAATCAATGGAAGTGGGGAACTGGATTACCATAGCTGTTACCTTGGGACATAGATATGGCTTGAGTCCCACTCTCTTAAGGTCACCCTCTACCCTTGGTCCAGAAAATGCGTGTGCGGAGCACGTGTGGGGACACATACTGCAGCAAGGCAGGCCGCCGCTTCACAGGACAGGCCCTGGAGAAATTTGTCATCATTGACTGTGAGCAGGTGGTGGTGGGCAGCTACAGGTGAGCAAGTCAAGTGGGGAGGGGCCTGAAGCTTCGTCGTGGGCTGGAGAGGGCACCTCAGATGACCACTTTGAACTTCCCTCCATCCATGCATACACCCATCCATCCCTTCAGACTCATACTGAGCACCTGCTGTGTGCTAGGCACCCTGCAGGACTCAGGCCTGTGTGGGAGAGGCAGCCATGGATGAGTCTCCCCTAAGGGAAGGATTACTTTAATGCCCTTGTAATTGAAAACAACTACTGCACAAGGGAGAGATTTCAAGGAAACCTTCACCTGATCCATTTTATATATGGGGAAGTTGAGGCCCTGGGGTGGACAGCCATATGCCCAAATCTTCCAGCCAGGGCTGAGATGAGCACAAATCTGGAGTCACAGCTCTGCCCCTTCACTATGAGCCCTCATAAGGATAGAGTCTTGGTCCCTTGCAAGGCATGCTCCCCTGATTATGACTCCTGCCAAGTCCTGGGTCCTGTACTTTGACAACTGACTTTGACCCTCTGTCCCCAGCTTTACCTGGCTCTGCAGCCAGGCCCATACCAGCATGGTGCTGCAGCTGAGGGGCCGCATTGTGGAAGACTTTGATCGGGAGTTCCGCTGTCTGTACGCTGAGTCACGGCCTGTGGAGGGCTTCTGTGGTGGTGAGGATCCACCGTCTCCCCGGGCGCCATGTCCTCCCCCAGTGACCTTGGCCTTTGGGCCTGGTATCCCAAGCCCCACCTGCTCCTCACCCACCAGCACCAGTCTCAGCAGTATCAAGCACTCACCTCTCATGGGCCGTTCTTCCTACCTCGCTCTACCGGGAGGTGGTGGCTGCAGTGACACAGGCATGGGGTCTTCCTCCCCAAGTCTTGCCCACCACGAAGCCAATGGCCAACCTTCTCTGCATCGCCAGCTGTCAGACCCTAACCATGGCTGCCTTCCAGGGTCCTACAGGGTCAACCTGGGCAAGCTGGGGGCGGCCCCATGGTCCCAATCTTCCCCTGCCCTCAACCACAGTAGCAATGGTCCCTTGACCCCAACAGTGGGGTCACCTCTGCTCCCCTGCCCCCGCCCCCTCCTACACTTCCCCCAAGGGGTACGAGCTCTGTCCCGGCTCCCAGAGAATGGGTTCCCAGGATGCCTAGAACCCAACCCTCCACGAGGTCGCTGGGTACCTGGGATAGCCCTGGAGACAGTGGAGGAGAAGAAGCCATCATTGAGTCAGAGCCATGGCCAGCTGGACCTCCTTGTCCCCTTCCCTAAATCCCGAGAAGCAGGAGGCCCTGACCCTGGGGTTACACCAAACTCAGCCTCCCTTCGGCCAGGAGAACAGGCCCCAGAGGATAGGAGGTTATCCCTCAGTCAGAGCTATAGCCAGTTGGATCTCCTGCCCCAGACCCAGAGTCCTGAGGGGGCTCCTGATTCGAGCTCCCTCAGACCTAGTGCCCCAGAGGACAGGAAGCTATCCCTAAACCATAGCTGTGGTCAACTGGACCTCCTGGTACAGTACCCCAAGGCCCAGGACTCCAGAGTGCCCCCTGAAACCAACTCCTTGGCCAGGCCTGGCAAACAGGGTTCAGATGAGCGACGGCAGACCCTGGGCCACAGTCAGCTGGACCTTATCACCAAGTTTGGCCCATTCCGAAGTGAGGGGCCTGGGCCCAATGTCCTCCCAGGACCAAGCCCTTCTTGCGTGGCTGGAGTGGGCTCTAGGGATGAGAAGCGGCTGACTCTGGGCCACAGCAATCTGGACCTTATCACCAAATATCATCAACTTCAGGGTGCCAGGCAGGGACCTGAGCCTGGCCTCCCTGGGGGCCCAGTAGGTGGCCATCATAATAGTAGTAGTAATGACCTGTTTGGGGAAGAGAAACGGCTAACACTGGGCCACAGCAAATTGGATCTCATCACTAAGTATAACAAGTCCAAGTTCAAGCTGCTTCGCAGTCGCTTTGAATCCTAGTCCTGTTCCCGACAGGGACAGATCCTTCTTCTATCCACTGAGCCTTGACTTGCTCAGATCCCAAACCCTGGGGTGGAAGAGCAAAGCCAGAGCTTATGGGGAGGGTAGGCCTGGGTCAGAAACTCCCAGGGTTCAAGATTCTTGTGTGTACTTGTATGTGAAAGTGCATGCTCGTGCACGCTTGTGCATGCACACACAAAACACACACACACACACACACACACACACACATACACAGGGTTGCCTACTATATGCTAGAGTCCTGGGCACGTTGTATCAGTGATTCTTCTTATCCTTCCACCTACAACATCCTACAAGATGGACCTCTTATTGTTAAATAGTTATTAATAGGTATTATTCCCCCTTTTTACAAATGTGGGAGCAGAGGGCCAGATTTTGGAAGATTTATTTGTGGTCAGGTCCAAGTAAATGGCAGAATATGGCCCTCTGCCAGATCTTATCCTCTCAGTCTAAAGCTTCTGTTTTCTTCTCAGACATGACATTCAATTTACATGTCTCCATGCGCACAAAATATAAAACACTAAGAGTTGCCTCAAATGTCCATATAAGGGCTGGGGATGTGGCTCAAGCGGTAGCGCGCTCGCTGGGCATGCGCGGGGCGCTGGGTTTGATCCTCAGCACCATATAAAAATAAAGATGTTGTGCCCACCGAAAACTAAAATATAAATATTAAAAAATTTTCTCTCTCTCTCTCTCTCTCTCTTTAAAAAATGTCCATATAATAGACTCAGCACACTGACTGGACACACCCACAAGTTGCACACCCATAGATGCATAAAGTAAGTACACATAGGTCCATGTGATAAACCCACTCAGAACTTCAGAGATACTCAATAAATGTCATCTGGCTAAATGAATGGCTACACAAAAATATGCACATTCAGCGCACACTGTAGAACTCCTCAAGATCCAAAACTATAAATATGCACACAACCCAAAACACAGACACACACACACACCCCCCAACTTGTATCTGCTTGCACCTAAGCTATATTCCCAGCCCTGCGCTGGGCATGGCATAGGGCTAACAGACAAATCAGACTCAGACCCTAGGGGATAAGAATTACTTGCAGAAGCCACTGGAGAACAAGACAGGGATGAACTGAACAAAAGATTAATTAGCAACAGAGAGCAAAAGGACATAGAGTCAGAGAAGTTTCTTGGAGCCGGTAGCCTTTAAGCCAGTCCTTGAAGTAAGGGGAGGTTTGGGACAGAAAAGAGGAATTTTTGGTAGAGCGAGCCAAGTAAAGAGAGGTCCAAGAGAGGACTGAGTGGGTCTGAGGTGAAATGGAGAGGACAAATAGAGCATGTGGATACCCAGACACATACACATGCCATCTTGCTGAGTGTCTCTTGAAGTACTGATTGACAGGTTGTAGGCCTTTTTCCTGAGCTCACTACTTTCCTGGGACAGTGTATATGATACAAATCAATAAAGATTGATATGGCTAGACCCAGCAGCAGCCTGGTGTATGTATCCTGAGGAATGTCAAGCTATAGAATTGCAGGTTGGGGATGGGAAAGGGCACCATTCAGGAGGATTATGGGGTTGGCTCTGGAGGAAACCAGATGGACCTGTGAAGGCTTGAGGTGAGGGGTTCCAAGCACCTTTTGCCTGCAGTGTAACTTTCTAAGAAATTCTGAGACTATTCTAGATTCTACAATATGTGAGCCAAGTTCATTTTGTCTATGAGAATAGGGCCCTTATCTGACCACTATCCCAGGAATAGGTGGTGCCGAGAGTGAGGGACAGAGGACCTGTGAGAGACACTTTGCTGAAGTCAGCCCCCACATGAATTGCCCACCCTGGACCTCTTCCCCTCTGACCTCTGCCTAAGACCCAGCTTCTTCCATCCTCCCTTCTCTCCAATACCTCCTTCAGCCTGTTTTCTTTGCTTCTCTGGCCACGCCTCCTTCTCTAGACTATATTGGTCTCGATTTTCCCCACTGGATACCCTCTCCCGGGTGACTTCATCTACTCCAGGCTTCAGCCCCAAACCTCATTCATCAGTCTTTCACTCTCGCCTAAGCTCCGAATCTGGATTTTCGTCCGTATGGCCGAGGTAGATTCATCACCTTTCTCATACCTGCCCTTCCTCCTTCGGCTTCATTTCAGCAAATACCTCCATCATCAACCTATCTTCTAGGGTTGGGGATGTAGCTCAGTAATAAAGCTCTTGCCCAGCACGTGCCAGGAGCTGGGTTCAATTCTTAGTACTGCATACAAACAAAAAAATCGGGGCATCTCTGGCTCCTCCTGCCCTTCAAGCCACACAAGCGACCTGCAGCAGGTTTTGATGGACAGTACTTCCTATAAAGCTTCAGAATGAACCAACGAGTAGGCGTGCTGGGGGCGGAGCCGCGGTCAGGTTGGGTCTTTTGCAACCATAGAGCCCGCCCAGAGGGTGGAGCTAGAGTGGCCGCATGCGTGGCGGGGGAGCGCGTGGCTCTCCCGGAAATCTGCCCGAGCCGAGGCGGAAACGGAGAGAAGGAGTTGTCGTGTGAAGGAGTTTTCTTGTGGAGGTTGCCGTCGCTTGGTGAGCTGGTGTGAAGGGCAGCTGTAAGGGTCAGCTCCAGGCCCCGAGTCGGGAGAAGTTGGGGCTGGAGACCCTGGCGTGACCCACTGGGCGGGACCCGAGTTTGAGAGGGGGCGGGGTCGCGGCTGGGAGTGCCGGAGGCCGGGAGATCTGCCGGCCCTGAACTCTCCGGTTATGTAGCCCCCAGGCCTCCCTCATGGCGGTCCGAGCGTCCTTCGAGAACAACTGTGAGATCGGTTGCTTTGCCAAACTTACTAACACCTACTGCCTGGTGGCCATCGGAGGATCAGAGAACTTCTACAGGTGTGGCGGGAGCCCGGGGCCGATGGCGGCGGCAAGGGGGGGATACCGGGAGTTCCAGGCCCCCGGCCCGTGACCACCAAGTCCATGTCCCTACAGTGTGTTCGAGGGCGAGCTCGCCGATACCATCCCCGTGGTGCACGCGTCCATCGCCGGCTGTCGCATCATCGGGCGCATGTGTGTGGGTAAGGCAGGTGGAGGACGCCGAGGGAGAGAGTAGAGCCTCCAAACACGATTAATCACTAATCATATCCCTCAGGAGGACCTGGAATGACCTAGGAATTTTCAGGCTTCGTTCATTATCTGCATATACTATGTAATCTCCCAGGCTGAGTGGGACCTAGTCTGAGTGTCACCAGATCAAGGACAACCTGTGGCAAAGCCTTATCAAGAATAGTCATATAACAAATAGCAGTAAGTGCTTTCACTCATGTTCACACTCCATCTTCACAACGACACTGGGAAGTAGCAGTTACTGTCCTATTTGATGATGAAACTGAGGCTCAGAGAACCTATGTTACTCACCAAGTTCCACACCTAGGGTGGAGGAGGATTTAAATCTCATCTTTTCTCCACCAATTACTATGGGAACGTTGTTTTCTCTTTCTGAGCATCCATTTCTGCCTCTGTAAAATGACTGGATCATCCGGTTCAGCTACATTTAAATCTTTATTTTCCTTTACCACATCTCTGAATGGGATTCTTTAATCTCTCAGCACTGTTGATTGTTGACTCTGTCCATCAGTCCTTTTTTTTTTTTTTAAAGCGGGCTCTGTATCCCATTACTACCACCTCTTATGTTTTAGTTCTGCACATGTGGGTCATACACTAGTCTATTCCTTGTATTTCTTTTCTGTATTTTAATTTTTTAAAAATCTAAGTGCTTTCTGATTCAAAATAATAAAACACTGATTTCTAATTATGGCAGTAGAACTTGAAGCAAATTTTGACATAAGGAGAGAATTTAGCCCAGTCTTTGGTATTTTAATGAGAGTAACTTATTAAACTTTAGAATTTTGAAGTTTAGAGTTGTGGCCTTTCAGGGATAGGGAGAGGTTTAGCCATAGTTGTCACAGTGTAATTAAATTTTGTTAATTCTTCTTGTCCTATAATTACTTTTAGGATGTTTTCCTCCATGTATTCTAATGACTGGTTATTTGATCAGTTTTTGGCTTGATCTATTAGGAATAGTGTTGTATGTAAATATTAAAATGTACATATTTCTATTGGGTTTATACTACCTAAGAGTAGAATGGCAGAGTTACAGGCTATGATTATTCAGCTTAGTAGGTGATGCCAGATAAATATATGAAGCGGTTAACCAGTATATACTCTTGTCAGAGGATGTGAGTATTTGAGTTGAAATTCCACACATATTTGACAACTCTTGGTACTGATGGTGTTTTACATTTTTTAGCTATTCTGATAGGTGTGTAGTGTTAGCTGAATTTTTCTCCCCCTGGTGCTGCAGATCAAACCCAGAGGCACACTCATGCTAGGTGAGAGCTCCACCACTGAATTACATCTCTGGGCCAGCAAAATGAACAACTCATGCCCAAGGCCTTTCCTACTAGTCCTTCCCCTACTAGATGATGATGATGAAGTGGGCAGGGTTTGTTGGGATAGATTTCTGGGCCATCTTGGGACTGCCCAGGGGACCGTTGATCCCCTTGAGTGACCTATAGATTATTGGGTTGGAGGGCTGGAGTCTGAGACTCCAATCATCCTTGGAAAGCTAATCAGACTGGGCTTGGTTGTATCCTGAGCCCTCAGGGTACAAGAAACATCTCCTATATTCATGGTTCATCTTTGCCCTACCCTTCATTTGGGGTCTTCCAGGGAACAGGCATGGGCTCCTGGTGCCCAACAACACTACTGATCAGGAGCTGCAACACATTCGCAACTGCCTCCCAGACTCAGTGCAGATCCGTCGGGTAGAGGAGCGGCTCTCAGCTCTGGGCAATGTTACTACCTGCAATGACTATGTAGCCTTGGTCCACCCAGACCTGGATAGGGTAAGTCAGCCCAGCTTGGCCCAAGCATCACAGAACCAGCCTTCTTTGGTTAGGCACTGTTCTTGTCCCATAGGTTAGAGGTATCATAAATGATATCTCCTTATATCTGGGCTCTCAAATTTTAGGCACTCAGGAATAGTGACACAGCTCATACATGGTGTGCTCAATGTCAGAAGCTTTGGAAGGCATTAATCCTTCAAGATCACAAAGATTGGCCCATTGATTTATCCTGAATCAAGATAAATGCTTGACAGTTGAAATTGAGTGTGGTTTAGAGGAAAAAAGGTGGTATGGAGACTGGCCTTTAGCAGTTCAGGGCATGCATGGGTATTAAGTGCTCGGCAGCTGGCCTAGACTCTGCTCTAAGCTCTATTTTCTCTTTTCTCTGAGTGAGGCTTCCAAAGCAGAGAAATGAGGGAGTCAGAGCTGAACCCAGAATAGTTCTGGCTTGGAGAACCCCTGGTTCTTGAGCCTTAAGTTCTGGGCCCTAATCACAGTACCTTTGGCTGATAGGAAACAGAAGAAATCTTGGCTGATGTGCTCAAGGTGGAAGTCTTCAGACAGACAGTGGCTGACCAGGTGCTAGTAGGAAGCTACTGTGTCTTTAGCAATCAGGGAGGGCTGGTGCATCCCAAGACTTCAATTGAAGACCAGGATGAGCTGTCTTCTCTTCTTCAGGTTCCCCTTGTGGTAAGGATTTCTGCTCTCTGACCTCTGTCTCCTGCTGAGGCAGATCCCTCCCAGTGTTTGGGAATCTGAGTCATTACCTGCACTAGTTTGGAATTGGGACTGTGGCTTAGGGGAGTGTGGTTTTGTGGGATTGTCCTCAATAGGGAAGGGAGAGGCTTTGACTGTTGGTACCATGACTCAAACCAAGCCCATCCCACCCCACGGCAGGCAGGCACCGTGAACCGCGGCAGTGAGGTGATAGCTGCTGGGATGGTGGTAAACGACTGGTGTGCCTTCTGTGGCCTGGATACAACCAGCACGGAGCTGTCGGTAGTGGAGAGTGTTTTCAAACTGAATGAAGCCCAGCCTAGCACCATCGCCACTAGCATGCGGGATTCCCTCATTGACAGGTATTTGGGGCCAGGGGAGGAGCATACTTTGCCTTTTGAGGGAAGGGGAAAAAAGATGCCAGTTAGAGTGGGAGCCCTATTGTGTTTGTACTAGTAGGTTCTCCTCAAGTGAGACTGTGACTACGAGCTGCTGTGTAGTCACAGAATACGGAATACAGCCAGTAAACATTTCTTGAGCATCCACTAATCCTCATCTTTGAAGACTGAGCTCTGTAGGCAGATCTGTGGTCCTTCTTATTTGCTTACTGACCATGTTTTGTTGTTGTTGTTGTTTGTTTTGTTGTTGTTTTTGGTACCAGGGATTGAATTCGGGGGCACTTAACCACTGGTATTTTAATTCTTAGAGACAGGGTCTCTCTGAGTTGCTTAGGACTTCCCTAAATTGCTGAGGCTGGCTTTGAACTTAATGATCCTTCTGTTTCAGCCTCCCAAGCCATGGGATTACAGAGGTGTGCCACTACACCCAGCTCACAGTTGTGTTTTGTTTGCAGTTTGTATTTGCCCATATGTCAGTATCTTAGCCAGTAGCCCAAGATCTGAAATAGAAAAGAGCTTTTGGCTAGGGAAGGTGGGAAAGCTACTCTTAATTACTGAAGAGACCCCAGATACCTGATACCTGAGGCACTGGTTGGAGCTGAATAGTGCATCAAAATTCCAATCTGGACTTCTGTGGGTTAAAAAACAACAAAACTGGGAGCCCTAACTCTGGAGATAGAAAACTTAATTAAATTGTTTGGGGTCTCTATTTAGGATAGAAACACCAAAAGAGAGCAAATGTCAAATAACTGAACAACTATTTTCCATGAGTAAAACTTCCCTTCATTCTTCTTCCTTAATTGGTTTGCCTGATGTTCGTTGATCCCTAAGGAACAGACTCTATAGGGGATAGCCAGGCAATTGAGTTCTACATTCTGCCTCTGAGGGGCTTACAATATATATTTCTCCTATCTTCAGAGGAGAAATAAAAAATACTGTAATTGTCCTCAGAAGTTGACTTGGGTATCTCTGATGAGAAGCCTTTCATATGGCAGTTTCATAAAGGACAGGTTATTTATTCCAGTTTCAAGGAATGAGTAGGTATTTGTGCAGGGATGAGTGAGGAAAACCCTCAGACACAGAGATGAGAAATTATGGAGAGAGAATATGAAGGAGGGAGTATTCTCAGAGAACTGAGAACTTTGAACACCCACATGACCAAGTCTGGACATTTTGTCAGCCTGCAATTTTGAGCTTTTTTGTGCTGAAGTAGGGCCTTGTTTTGGTCTGTTTTTTTTTTTTTTTTTTTTTTTTTTAGTTGTAGTTGGACACATACCTTTATTTTATTTATTTATTTTTATGTGGTGCTGAGGATCGAACCCAGGGCCTCACAAGTGCTAGGAGAGCACGCTGCCACTGAGCCACAACCCCAGCCCTTTGGTCTGTTTTTTAAATAAGCTACCCTTGGGTAATTTTGATGGGATCACTTTGGGAACCATACTAATTTTCTGTTAGTACAGGTGAACAACTGAAAGTTTGTTTTGTTTTGTTTTTCTCTGTGGTGCTGAGGATCAAACCCAGGACCCTCTTGTGTGCTAGGCAAACATTCTGCCACTGAGATATATCCATAGTCTGCAACAACTTTTTATATGCCAGACAATAGTGATGTGATAATGAGTAAAATAGATCCCCTCTTGTAAGGAAGGCAGTACTTATACAATTAATCATTTATTTGAAGAACAAAAATGCTTTTAGCAACCTGAGAACAGAAAAGGAATTTCTATAACATGATAATTGATAGCATAACATGATAATTGATACCTACCAAAAAAATGTTGCATTTAACAGTAAAATTTTAGAAGCTGCCATTAAAGCCATGGAGAATTGATACACTAGTCAGTGTTTTTCTGGTAGTTCTTGCCTATGCAGTTAGGTAATGTAAAGAAGATGGGTATTGGAGCCCTGTGCAGTGGTGCACGCCTGTAATCCCAGTGGCTCAGGAGGCTGAGACAGGAGGATCATGAGTTCAAAGCCATCCTCAGAAACTTAGTGAGGCACTAAGCGACTCAGTGAGACCCTGTCTAAATAAAATACAAAATAGGGCTGGGGATGTGGCTTAGTGGTGGGATGCCCTGAGTTTGATCCCCCAGTAACACCCCCCCCCAAAAAAAAATGGGTATTGGAGAGCAAGGTAGATCACTCACTTGTCTTTGATTTTGGGACACATTTTGTTTGAGGCGCCCATTAGACCTCATGTTGAAGATGCCAGGTAGGCAATTAGAAAACACATACTTCAGTTTTAAAATCCTATAATGTTTATCACTTTCAGTAAGAGTGTTTTCACCCCAGTCCTTACAGAGCAGAACTATTTTCCAGCCTAGTATTTGTGACTTTTTGTATTTACTTAGTGCTGATAAGGCAGAATTCTGGAAAAGGAGGCCAAAAGTTCTGGTCCCAGCCCTACCACTGGGGACTTGTGATCTGGCATGTATTTTCCTCTAAACTGAGCCCCCTTGCTTCCTTCTCTAATATTCTGAGACTGCCTTATGATCAATAGCTAAATAAATTGTTGAGCAAATTGGCCCACTTGAGTTGGGAAAGAGTTACTTTTAGTCTTTAAGCACTGAGAGTTCTAAACTAGATTGTGACATGGGATGCAGTTGCAACTTGGATGATGGACCAGGTCATTCTCTGAAAGTGGCTCTTCAAGACTGAGATCGAACGAAAGTCCAGGAGTGGGGGTGAGGTGTGCCCTGTGAAAAGTCTATTGACAGTGTTCCTTCTTCTCTTTACAGCCTCACCTGAGTCATCCTCCATGCTGTTCCATGGGCTTCGGCCTCTGGACTTTGGCTCCCTCTCACACCTCACCTAGTCTGTACTGGATGCTGGCAAGGTGTGGCAGGGAGCTCACCGGAACTGAGTGGATGGGCACCCAGCTCTCTCACTTGTGCCATCTCCTGAATCTGTTGTTACTCTAAAAACCTGCAATGTCATGCTGATTGTTAATGCTGGTTGGCTCCTGGATGAGGGTTCTGCTGTCCTGTGCCACCCCATTAAAGGGCAGCTGCCTCTCTGGTCCTTCTTGTGTGTGTATTTGTTGGGGATGGAACCCAGGAGCCCCTTGCCTTCTAGCCATTCTGAATGTGCTGCTGGGAGGACCTCTGCCTGAATGGCCCTCTCCCAGTAGTTCTAGGGTCCTGTGAAAGGTGGGTGGGATGGACATACGCAGCCCTATCCGTCGTCATCAGGATAGAAGACTTTATCCTAGAGCAAAAGAAGCACTCTTCACTCTACTTCTTGTATTTTTCACCCAACTTATGCCTCTTGTCTTCTCTGGCCTTCAGAGGGTATGAATCTGTTCTACCTCTCCCAGGCCAGTGTGGGGACCCTCCGAAGAGTCTCAGGCACCCAGCCATAGGGCATTCTTGCCCTCTGACCTGAAATACTTGGAGGTGACCCCTCAGGTACTTGGAGCTTAAGTGGTATAGGCAGCGGTCTCAGTTCCCAGACTGGGGCGGGGCCTCGGTGCTGGGGCGGGATTGGCTGGGCGTGTCCACGGGGTCCCGCCCCCGGTTGTAAATATCTCATTTCCGCTCTGGAGGCTGGCGGGAGAGTGAGGTCCGAGTGACTTCAGTCGCAACTCCTCCCAAGGTCTGTGAGGGACCCGGCTCCCCGAGGTGAGGGCGGGGCGGCAGGGCGGGCCGCGGGGTTGGGGCTGCTGACCCAGCACCTGGGGGTTTCTTGTCTGTAGCGATCATGGGCACTCAACTGAGCGGCGGCCAGGGTAGCCCGGAGCCCGCGCAGCCCCAGCCCGCGCAGCCCCAGCCCGCGCAGCCCCAGCCCGCGCAGCCCCAGCCCGCGCAGCCCCAGCCCGCGGCCCCAGAGGGCCCGGAGCGGCCCCGGCTGCAGCCGCAGCCGCAGCCGCAGCCCGAGCCCGACCCGTGGGGGCCGCTGGATGACGTGCGCTTCCTCATCGCCTGCACCTCCTGGTACTGACGGCAGCCTCCGTCCTCAGCCCTGTTCGGCCTGGCTCTCAACGCCCGGTACCTCCTACACCCCGGCGCCAGGAGCCGGCAAGGAATCCAGAAAGGTCCCGCGGGGCTGGAGGAAGTCTCGGGGCTGGAGGAAATCTCGGCACGGTCGCCTCGAGGGCACCCCCTTTCCCTAACCCCGAACTTTTCGCCTCCAGCCTGCACCCAAACCCAGCTCAGACCTCCGTGCTCACCCCTGTCCTCTCTCCAGCATCCTGGGGCAGGCTACCCTGAACCAGAACCAGAACTGGGCCGGGCCTAGTAAGAACCTGAGGCTTCTGACCTTCCGGCGTGTCTGTCCCATATTACTAGAACTGAACTTGTGCCTTGTGCCTTCATTTCATTCATCCTCCTATGGGTTACTCCCCAGCCTGAGATGGGCCAGCTGCACTACACCGCGAAGCACCCTGTTCTCTCCCAAGCTTCTTAAGGCCACTCAGACCCTGATGTTTATTCCCACACCCCAGGGAAATGACACACTCTGTATTTCTGTTTTATTTATAAATGATTTAAAAAACATTATACAAAGGCTGATCAGTTTAAAATGTGACCGACACTGAAATGCTGTGATATTCCCCCAGGCTGAGGAGAAGCTGGGCTCTGGGGCCACCAGCACTTTGCCCCTCTGTCTGACTGCCCTGTCCTGGGGTGATGGACACACAGATGACCACAGGCAGGAGAATCCCAGATTGGAAGCCTCTAGGCCGAGCCCTGTCTGGGCCTGGCCTCACATCCCTCACTTCTGCAGCCTGGGCTGCCTGCCTCCATCCCCTGCTCTGTGACAGCTGGCCTTGTTCCAGGAGCCAGCAAGGAGCCTGGGGGGCCGGGGTGGGGGTGGGCACGGCTAGAGCTTTCAGTAAGTGAGAGCACCAACCTGAGGAGTGGAGAGGGATTGGGGTGGGAGATGGGCAGGAAGAGATGGATAGAGGAGACACTTATCTCAGACCCTAAAGGGGTCCACAGATGGGGAACACAAGACCCAGCCAGCTCATAGGATGGCTTGGTCAAGTAACAGCCTCTCTGTGCTTCATCTGAGGGCATGATGAGAGTTACCCTTGGCCTCCCAGGGCCTACACGAGTTTCATGTGAGTGGACAGGTGTGAGCTAATAAAGTGCTTTGCAAAGTATAAAACACTGTACAAACCTATGAATCACTAATATCTCTGCAGTTGTTCCCCGCCTGCCCCAGGGAGCCTGCCCTTGGCCAAAATGAGAAAAAACAGGATGATGATGACTGGGGACACAGTGGACCCACAAAGTTGCCTCTGGGACAAGAGATTTTACTCAAGACACTTCCCAGGGCAGCAGGAGTCCCTGTCAGTGCTACAGGATAAGCCGAACCAAAGCCCAGAGGTCACAGGGTGGGGGCAAGGCCCATGCAGGCTCAGAGGACAGGAGTGGCATCTTGGACCCTGCCAGCACCCTGAAGATTGCCTAACACCTCTTTTTGGCTTTGGTAGAGAGCCACTGCACCCACTGGTCTTGCCTAGGGTTCCTCAGTGACAAGCAGGGCTGCTTCTGCCAGATTGTAGCAAGGCTAGCAGAGCCTGGAAACTCCTGCCAGACATGAAGGGTAGGTCTAAGAAGGTCAGAAAGGGAGGCCCCTAGGCTTGGGGCTGCTACCATTTGGGGGTGCCCTTTTCCTAAGAGCAATGCAGAAGATGGGCCCAGTGAGCTGGGTTTCCAGGGTCAAGTTCAAGGCCTAAATACCGCTTCTGGACTGAGAGTTTGACTTGCCTTAATATAGCTGGGGGTATGGGCACTGAGTGCTTCAGAAGGCTGCCTGGGGCCCCTTATTCCAAGGCCATGACAGCAGTGACCCTGAAGTCATCTCTGCTTCACCTGACTTGTCAGGCTGAGCCTCCAGGCCACAAGCAACAGGATGGAGCAGGGCTAGGGACAGGGTTAATAGAAGGGGGAGTAGAGGACATCACAAACTCAAGTCTGCCTCTGGAAATGTGGTCAGCTCCTGCCCCAACTCTTGAGCCTCATGAGCAGGGCCACAGCTAGTGTTGGGATGCTAGAGTGGCCTTAACAGCACCTTGGTCCTTATCACCTGGGGGAGGGCCACCAAGCTGGCTTCATCACCAAAACAGTCACTTCTAATTCACCTAAAGCCTCAAGCAGCCTTTGCAAAATGGGACTTTAAACAATAGTGACAGGACATTTAAATATTCACGATGTGACAGCTGGGTCCTTGTCAGACCCAGCTGGGCCACAGCCCTGCCTGCAGCATGTGACCCTAAACCTAGGTCTCAAAGGAGACCTGACAAACAGAGCAGGTTTCCTGAGGGATCTGCTGTTTGCCAGCAGGGAAACCCAGTCTTGTGGCCCACTGTGTTGGCAGCAGGGGTCCTATAGCCTTCAAGGACAGTGGGCTGGGTATAGGGGGACATCTGACCAGCAGGTGTTGGCAGAAGAGGACTGGGATTAGTGGCATCTCCCAGATAGGGGATGAGAGCTAGTGCTGGCTTCCCATGGAGGGTACTGGGTCCCAGCCAGGACGAGCTGTGGTGCCTCATGGACACCACAGGATGCAGTGGCCACAGGGATTCTTCTAGCATGGTCCCTGCTCCTGACAGGGCCTGGCCTATTCCCTTGAGTAAAGAGTAGTTTACTGAGGACAGAAGGCTGGCAGCGGGGTGCCAGACACCTATCCTGGGGCATAACCCCCATCACTCCCCTCCCCCATGCTCAGCCTAGGCCAATGCACTCACCACTTCAACTGTATGACCCTGGCCTAGGGCCCTGCTGGCCCCTGTGGGCAGTGGCCAGAACTGCCCCTCAGACCCTGGTGAGGAAGGGCCTGGCTGGCCAGACTGAGTGGATAGAGAGGGCTCTGGGCTGCTCACACCCACTCCTGGACTGGCCGCTTATAGTAAGTGACAGGCTGAGGGCCTGCCTTGTTCTTGAACTGGAAGATGGTGTAGACCAGCACCAGGATGCAGAGGGACAGGATGCAGGGGATGACCACGGCCACAGCATTCACAGAGCCTGGCATATCATTGATGGTCACCATGATGTCCACATCATCCTGAGGCAGCCGCCGCTCCTTACGCCGCTCCACCTCCTTCTGGTTACAGCCCATCCAGTCACGCAGAATGTTGCGTGGGTAGCCTGGCTCCACACTCAGTTTCTGGTTGTCAAACTTCCAGTAGTCCCGGCCCTTGTAGAAGTAGGTGTAATCTGTAGAAATAGGGCCCAGCATCACTACTCCCGGACACTTCCCAGTACCTGCTCTGGGGCAATGTGAGGACACAGGATACTGTGGCAGTGTGCAGAGGGGAGCTCTGAGGGAGGGGTGGCATGTTAGGTGGAAGGAGCAGAATCATGGAGCTGAAGGGGTGCAGTGCTTGGTGGGTTGTAGAATAAACAACACAACTGCAGAGAGGGGCACCCAGGACCTGGAACAGCCCTCCTGTAAGCTCAAAGTTATTGAGAAACAACTGAAGGCTTCAAGTAGAACTGGGATGGGGCTCAATAACCCAGAGAAGACCATTCTAAGCCTGGGAACACAGCTCTTTCATACTCCCCACAAGGGTCAGATCAAGCCCTCAATTTAAGGCTTTGATAGTACTGTCTCCAGAGCTCTAGGGCCTCAGGCCAGCTCCTGCCTGAGCCATGGGAGATGGAGTAAGATTTCTTCTGCTGACAAGAGACAACACCTTCCACAATTAAGGGATTTTTCTTTTCTTTCTTTCTTTCTTTTTTTTTTTTACTTAGCATTTTTCATTTTTCAAAAGATTTGCAAAAAAAAAAAAAAAAATGTGCCGTCTTTGGGACCTTCTAGGGGAAAGGCTGAAAGGAAAGGAGGAGGGCAGGCTGGGAGCTCTGCTAATCACTCCCTAGGCAGCCATCAGCAGCAACCACCCTACTAGCCCAACAACTCCACAGACAGCAAAGCAACTGACTCAGACTCTCCTCATTGGCTGGCTCCCCACCCTGGCTCAGACTGTCATTGGTCAAAGTCCTTGATGTCACCTGTCTCTGAGACTCCCCTGAAAGGAGACCACATTTGTAAAGCGCCCAGTACACAAGACAGCCAGCAAATAGCAGCTCTGCCCCGTGGCCATTGGCTTTCTAAGCTGTGATGCGTCCTTAGAAAGCCCTAATGGTCCCTAATATGCTGTCCTCTGCCTGGTTACTCTCTCACAGCATTAATTTCTCTTCTAGCTTTTGTTGCCACCTCATTTGTTTTCTTCCACTAGACTAGGAGCTAGGCAAGTGATGTTCACTGCTCTATCGCCAGCCCCTCCCACACACCTGGCTTTCTACTGTGGAGGGAATGAATGAATTCTGTCATTCTGAATAAACGGAAACACACCAAGATGATGATGATGATAGCATCTAAATTTATATAGTATACGCCATATGGTGGGTATTCTGCTAATGCTTTGTGTGATGTTTTTAATCACCACAAAGCTATTACATAAGCGTAAGTGCCATTATTATCCCCATTTTGAGGATGAGGAGACAGAGAAAACTTAAATGATTTGCCCAAACATACAAAGTAAAGGGGGTGGTATATGAACCTACTCAACCTGGCTTAAGTCTATGTTTTTTGTTTTTTTTTGTGTGTGTGTGTGTGTTGTTGTTGTTGTTTGTTTGTTTCTTATACTGGGGTCTGAACTCAGGGCCACATTTTCACTGAGCTACATTCCAAATCTGGTCTTGAACTTGTGATCCTCTTGCCTCAGCCTCTAGAGTTGTTGGGATTACAGACTTGTGCCACTGTACCCAGCTAGTCTGTGGTTTTGACCAGATCATCAGATAATTATGGATGCCCACTCTGCACCTGGCAAAACTTGACCTGTCCGAGAAGCTTTTAGATTGATGGAGAGACAGGTTGTGAGCACCTGATGACAGCCATGGTGGCTGGTTGCTGGCCTGACCTCTGGGAAAAGCTTACTGTGAATCATCCTGCAGGTGGAAACGTGGCTCTGGTACCTAGTAAGCAGGGGAATTCACTATGAGTTACACAGGGCGATTGTCTGCTGCCAATCAAACCTGGGCATTTATCAAACCTGGGGATCCTAAGAATATGTTCAGGGCCCCCAGGAGAACCACATAAAATCAGCCCCCCATCCCTGTGTGGCCCTGGCCCTTACGTACACCCTTCCTTGCTGATGAAGGCCCCTTGGGGAGCTTGAGGAATGCCCTTCCACACGGTGATGGGCTTGGGATAGCCAGGGTCTGTGGCCCGCCGCTCCTCGCTGTAGCGCCAATACCGCTCGCCTTTGAAAAAGTAGGTCTTGCCCACAGGTTCCCACCGTAGAGCCGTGTCAATGCCTTCACGAGGCAGGCAGCTTCCCAGCTCTCCCAGGCTGTGGGGGTACCCAGGTTCCACTGTCACCTCCTTAAACACCCAGTATTTGTCGCCTGTGGGCAAGAGATCAGGATTAGTCTTCCCTAGCTACTTGGTGGCAGAGGTTGTAGCTAGTGCCACTTGCTTATCTTCTGCCCATAGAGCCAGAGTGTCAATTCCTTTGGTTCCTTGGCCCCAGCAGAGCTTGGGGGCAAGAAGACAGAAGTGCAGGAAATTGTCCCAGGTCCCATAGCATAGGTTACATTACCTTTGAAGAACACAAATCTCCCATCAGCTCTTTCGTAGGCTGCATCTATGCGGGCAGGTAGGCCCTTCCAGAACTGCTCGATCTGCATGGGGTAGCCCTCCTGTACCCGGTTATTGCGCAGGCGCCAAAACCATCGGTCCTGGGGAAACAGAGGAGTAAGGCCCTGCCTCTGAACCAATGACCTCAGCTCTGGGACTCAGGTCCAACAACCCCACATTATCTTTTGGGCCAAGCCTCACAACCCTCCATGCAGTCTGTCATCTTCTGCTTCCAACTCTCAGAAGAAAACAGGATGCTCATGTAACTCTTCACTTAAACCTCCTGATGGTTCTTGCTGCTCCAGGGACCATGAGACAGACAGCAGACAGGCCCGGTCTTCGTGAGGAAGTTTGGAAAAGCTGGAAAGGAAGTGCTGGGGCCTGTAGTGACCACAGGAGGGCACTGGAGAGTCACTGACAACACCCAGGCCAGGCCTCAGGCTGGTGGGAAACCCAACACTGGTAAATGGGGGGGGTGTTTAAATCTGAATTTGACCTTGACTATTTTGAGAGGATTAAAATTAAAAAAAAAAAAAAGAAAAAAAACAAGTAAAGAAGGAATATAATACATAGAAGATGGTACAAAAGCCAGTATTTTTAAAGGTATTTTACAAAGCACTTCCAGGTACAGTTTTCAAACTTTATTTTGACCTCCACAACTCTAAGTCAATCTGAGATATAAAAACAGTCTTAAAGAAGGTCAAGTGACATGGAGCCATTCAGTGAGAGGTAGATCACGAGCTGACCCACCTTGCCCCATTCTTGCTTAGTGCTTGAAGCTTTCTGGGTAGAACTCCAGAAAGTATGGAGAAATATTCTATCCAGATTTCCATGGGTGGCTGGGAGTACTACCAGCAGGTAGTTTTCAACTACCAGTCCCTCTGGAGTTGGTCTCGGCTTCAGAGAGCATCCCCGAGGTCATACCCTTTCACTCCAAATGACTGAATGAGGCAGAGGGTATAAAGTTCTGACGGCTTGGATGCCTCCAGTGGGCCATTCTGGCTCCAGAGCTCCCTGTGGGAGTGGTCAAGTCTGCAACAGGCTAATGCTGCTGCTCAACTTGCTGCTTTGCCCTGTCCTGCTTCCTGTTCTTCCTGCTCACAGATGTTGATCCTGGAGTTATTCCCTAATCAGAATCCTTCATTCTGTAAACTCCACCTCAGAGTCTGCTCTGCTGAGGACTCAGCCTGCAACACACCAAGCAGGCTAATGTCCAGTCAGATCTTGGCTAAAGTGGCAGGCAAAGGACAGTTGACAAGATGTAGTCTGATCGGTACCAGGCTCTCAGGCGCTGGCAGGCTCTGCAATCAGGCTGGATGTGGTGGCTCACTCCTGTAATTCCAGCAACTCTGAGGCTGAGGCAGGAGGATTGCAAGTTTAAGGCCACTCTCTGCAACTAAGACCCTGTCTCAAAATTTAAAAAATAAAAATAAAAAAGGCTAGGATGTAGCTCAGTGGTACAGTGCCCATGGGGTCAATCCCCAGTGGAGCAAACAAAGAAAAAACAAGAATCTGCAATCAGATTCAGTCACTCTGGCTCAGCCCCCACTCCAAACTAGCTGTCTGCAGAGCCTGTCACTCATTTGCTATTCATATACTCCTTGTTAGAGTAATGACATGCCACCCCAGATTTCAGATGAACAACTGAGGCCCAGAGAAGGGAAGCAACTTGCTCAAGGTCACAGACTAGAAGCCATCTCCAGCCTTTCCCCTAGCGTTAACCCCTGGAAAGGTACAAGATCACCAATCTTCCCTGCTCACCTATTGGAAACAAGTTGTTTTACCCCGAAGCACCAGAAAGAGACCCTGGGTCCTGGACACTAGGCCAGCTCCTGTCCAGTCTTCATAGCAGCTTATTCCAGGGCAGGAGTGATGGAAGAAGGAATGGGAGGGACCACCTGGGTGGTGCCAATCCATTAGCCCTACCTTAAACACAAACATCTCTCCACGGAAGAGGGCCACTGTGTTGAAATTGCCATCACAGATGTTGGGTTTGGTGCCTGGAGAGGATGGTCGGTCCCCAAGAGGTGGCCGAGGAGGTCTGGGCTGGCGCTCATGCTTCCTTTCAGACGGTGAGTGGATCCTGCGGACTGGGAGCGTGGGAAGGGGTCTTGTGGGCTCCAGAGGCTCAGCTGGGGGTCCTAGAGAGAGGAGCCACATCTGAGAGAAGGAGCCAGCTGTTCCCTGCCTCCCTCTGCCATTGCCTCATCATCACCCATGCAGCTCCAGGTTTATTCTGTCACCTTTTGGCCTCCTGTCCCCTCTCCCTTATTTAACTTTGAGGAAATACATAAAAACAGCCACTAGATGGAGACCTCATCTTTCTACCCTCAAATCTAACATATTGGGTTTTTTTGTTTTGTTTTGTTTCTTTTTTATAACAGGCTTTTGCTCTCCTGTAAAAAGAGCAAACTTGTCCTTCTTTAGGATGTCTTTTTTTCCTCTGCTCCCCTTCACACTGGCCTCATATTCTCATCCATTTCCATTCCTTCAGTCCACTTAATATCACTCTGCCCCATTCTCCACCCAAACCACTCGCCAATGACCTTTATGTTGTTGAATCCAACAGTTATTGACTCAAACTTTATTGAGCATATGAATCATGCAGGTATCTTGATAAAATTCAGACTATGACTCAAAGGGCCTAGGGTGGGGCCTGAAATTCTGCATGTCTTTGAGGTCTCAAGTGATACTGATGTTTCTGGTCTGAGGCTCACATTTGAGCAGCAAAATCCTGTAAACACTTGCCCTTGGAACACTTTACTCCTTTTCCAGGCTTTGCACCCTCATGTTTTTCCTGCTACCTCATGAGTTGTTACCTCTTAGCCTCTTTGGGGGCTGTCAGATATCCTGAGGTTTCTCTTATTCTTTCTCAACATTTTCTTTCATCCCTGCCTCTCAACTTGGGCTGCATATGAGAATCACCTGGGAGATTTAAAACTTTTCCTGCTCAGGAAGCACCCCAGACCACGTAATCCTCATCTCTGGGGTAAGGGCTGGGTGTCAGTGTTTTTTGTTGGAATCCCAAGGTGATTCCATTGGGCAACCAAGTTGCTAATCACTGTCTTAGGTGGCTCATCCAGGCTCATGGTTTTAAAGCTGTCAGTTAGGACATTTTGTGATGATGGAAAAATTGTCCTCTGTCTATACTGTCTCTAGCCACATGCACTAATTCTTAGTGTGATTGAGGAACTAAATTTTTTTTTTTTTTAGGTGGTGCTGGGGATTGAACCCAGGGCCTTGTGCATGCAAGGCAAGCACTCAACCAGCTGAGTTATATCCCCAGCCCCTGAAACTTAACTTCATTTAATTTTAATTAATATACATTTCAATTTCAGTAGCCATTTGTCACTAGTATCTGTTGTATTGGACATTAAAGATCCCAAGCCAGTGTCCCAGCCTAGGTCTTTGGTTGCACCCTGGTAAATCCCATTGTCCCACAATTACAAATGCCAGAACCCTTGGTGTTATCCTTGCCTCTCTCCTCCTCCTGCTCATCCCCACACCTGATCTGTTAGCAGATCCTGTCCATTCTACTTTGAAACACCTTCCTGTGCTTGCCACCCGCATCTGTCCCTCTGCTGCTTCATCTGTTACAGTCTGGAGCTCTAGTGGGGGCACTTCCTTCAGAGGGAGTCTTGTTCCTGAGCTCCACTGCCTGGGGGCTGGGCTTTGTTGACAAGCATTTGCTCCCATATGGTCTTCCCATCTCAGTTAACTTGACCAGAATAAGAACTTCGCTTGCCAGAGTGACTTGAGCTGGGACAGAGGCCTGGTGGAAGGCTTCTTAAGATCTCAGCTCTGGTTATGATACTCATCACACTATATCATTGTTTTTCAGGCAGATGTGTGACTCTCCTTGGCTGGAGGTGAGACCCAGGAGAGTGCCCAGTGGGAAGGTATGGAGTACAGGAGATGAGAGGAAGATGTTTAGAAGAGGGGAGGGTGAAGAAGAGGAAATGTGTGGGCCACTCTTCACTTTCGTCACTCCCTGTCACAGCGAGGACCCTTTTCTAGGTTTCCCGAGTATGCCAAGGGGAAGCCTCCTGAAGGGTGGCACATGATCGGAAACAAAGCTCCCTACATAGCCCTATAGAAAAAGCCGTGGCCCCTCTCCCCTATCACACACCATAGATCTTCTGGATGCCTTGGAGATCATCCTGGGGCAGCTTGAAGTTGTGCGTCTCCATGTACTGGTAGAAGGGTGCCATGATGGCGCTGGGGTCATTGGAGTGCTCCAGTCCCAGTGCATGGCCCAGTTCATGCACAGCCACCAAGAAGAGGTCATTCCCTGTGCAAAGAAACATGGAAGGTGACCAGGGCACCACGTATATATCAGTCAGTCAATCCATTACTTGAGCAAACACTGAGCATATGCCTTGTACCAGGCCCTCTGCTGGACATTGGGGATATACAGAGAAATCAGCCACAATCTTTGCCTTCCAGACTTCTTGATATAGAGAGTAACATGGAGTAAGAAACAATGTAAGCAGTGCAGGGTTCCAGGTGCTTTAACAGAGTTCTATGAGGGTCAAAAGGAATTCCAAGGAGGAAGGGGTCATTTAAACATGGAGGAAGATGCTTAGGGAAAGTTTCATAAAGGTGAGTCTTGAAAAGTAGGAAGTTGGTCAGAAGAATGGATTCAAGGGAGGAAGTGGGTGGGGTGGCATTCCTGGCAGAGAGAATGATATGAGGCAGGTCCAGGGACAAGCAGTTTCATTCCACTTGGCTCTAGAACAAAGCATGAAGGGAGGGCCAGAGAGAGAGATAAGGTCAGCCAGGCTGGCAAGCAGGGCTCTGTAATGCCCTACAAAGGAATTTGGATCAGCTTCTTGGCTGGTGGGGGTTGTGAGCAGGAGTGGAGGTGGGAGTGTGATGAAATCAGCCAGGCTGCAGTTGGAAGGAGGATTAAAGCAGAATGAGACCTGAGGCAGGGGGACCAGGGGCATCAATTCTGAAGCTGGCACCAGGGTCCAAGTGGAAGGTGAAAAGGGCCTGAGCCAAGGCAGCAGCAGTGGGGATAAGTGGAGGAAGTCCTGGGGGTGGCCGGCTGGCGGTCAACTTCAGGAATCTTCAGGAATAGGGCCCTAGGTGTGGGGCAATTCTCAGCAAAACCCCAGTCCTGGAAGAAACGAACTACTGGCCAAGATCAAAGAGAGGATTCAAGTATGGGTAGAAACACAATCCAGGTGCTGAAAGTGGGACATAGTATCCCGTGTGAAACTGAGGCGGCAGCATGACGCGGTGATGATGAGCATCTCCAGGGTAGAGAGATTACCTTCATTTCCAGCTCTCCTCTTCCCAGCTTTGGGAACTTGGCCAGCAGGGCTACCCGCTGAGCCTCCATGTCCCCATTTGTAAAGTGGCAGAATCAAACCTACCTCATGGACTGAGCAAGGGGTGAATAAGATGACATATGTGAAGTTCATGGTACAGACCTGAAAGTTATTGCTGTTGTTATTGTACATAAGACAGAAGCTCAGTTAGTGGAACAAGTTCATTAACCAGAAAGGAAGTGCAAGGCCTGTGAGGCTCCAGCAACCAGATACTCTGAGAGCCAGCTCCCCTGAGCTTCTGTATTAGTCCTAGGACAGAGCAAGGCCTGAATTTGGGGGAGATTAAGTAACCTCAGCTTTGGGAAAGAAATGCCAGAACCAGAGAGCCACTGTATTAACAGTCCTGGCTCTCTTCTGCCCTGTTGCAGACCCCTGCTTGCCTTGACCTCAGGCATTTGTATGTCCCTTGAGCCCGGTCTGTATTTCCCAGCCCCAGGCATGTTTCAGCCTCTTCTAGCTACCTCTACGTCCAGGGAGGCTACCAGGGCCTGGGAAGTAGTCAGAAATCCTGATGCCTGCTCTGGCCCCAGCACCCCCCTGGCTAAGCCCTTTAGCCCAATCCCAGTCCAGCCAGTTCCTATGAGGGTCAGATGGGGGTAGGAATTGTTTGACTTTTCTGGTTAAGGTGTTGGGAAAAGAGAAGAACCCCTGGGGCAGACCCAGGCCATGGGAAGCACAAGCCTGCCACTCCACTGACATCACCAGTGTCTTCAGCAAGGCTGATTTTGAGCACCAGAGAGGAAGGAGGATGGGCAAGATCAACACAAGGTTGGCCAAAAGCCTGGGGCTGGCCTTCTGCTGGGAAGGGCAGGCTGGCAGGAGAAGGCCAGGCCGCCCCCAGCTCCTTCCTTAGGTCCTGGTCCCTCTGGCAGCAGGGAGGCATGAGCTCATCTTTGAGCTTCATCCCAAACAGAGGCGGCTGCTAGAGCCAGCGGAAGGCAGCTCTGCTTCCTGGGGTCCAGTACTGGCTCTGCTCCTGGCCTGTTCCTTGCCCTGGGACAAGCTGTTCACTGCCTGTCTCCTGACCAGGTTTCTCCCTGGGGGCCATCCACAGGGATCTCAGCCGGGAGCAGGGTTCTGAGCACATGGGCGGACTCAGCCTCTGTCCTCTGCCTGAGCCTGCGTCTGCAGAGAAGAGGAAGAACCCCTTGAAGGAAGGGGATCTACAGAGTTTTTCCAGGGATCAAGGGAGAGAGAAGAGCTGGGGAGCCAGTACCTTACTGCACAAAAATCCAAGAGAATTCTAGGGAGGAAAGGGAAGGAGAGGGGCAGGAGGACTACTTGAATCTGTGAGCAAAGCAAAGGTACTAGCCCAGGTCTGATATGGAGAAGACTCTAGGCAGAAGGCTCTTCAGGGTCTTCTCTCCCCAAGAGGTTGGAGGCAGGAGGCAGAGTGGTCAGGAGTATGGTCTCTGGCAGCCAGATAGCCTGGCTCTGAATCCCAGTTCTGCCATGTCCTAGCAGTGTGACATTTTAAATCTCTTCCTCTGTTAAATGAAGGGAATAATGATACCATTTTCCTAAGAATGGGGTGAAGATGAGGCAAGGTATGTCAAGTGCTTATACTGGCTTCTTGCACTCATTAATTAGGAGAGCTGTGCCAAGCTGTGTGAGGAGCAGCTTCCTCAATAGCAAGTGCTCCCAAAGTCCCAGAGCCTCCTGGAATGTCCCTAACAGTTCACCAGCTACTTGTTCACTTCCCTCAGGACTTCCCTATTTGGCGATCCCTGTCTCATTGATTCCCCCAACTCTCCAAAGGAATCCCCTTCACCTGTATTCTCTTGCCAGTGCTGTTCCCTGCACCTGGAATACCCTCTCTTCTTCAACAATGAGCTCAACGCCTATCTTCCAGGAAGTCTGCCTGGAGTTCCCAGCTGGCTGTGAACTCCTCCGCACTCTGGCAGCATTCTCTCTGAAGCATCTTTAGCCGCTGGCTGCTCTCCAGCCTGCATTAATTATACCACTAGTGCACACTCTCACTGCCCCAGGACTGCGAGCTCCATGGGGCAAGCTCTGGCTCGGCAGGCCCATCCTTCAGACCCAGGAAGCATCAGTGCCAAAATCTCAGTATTTTCCTAGGAGTGATCTTTGGGCTACCTGCAGCAGAAGCCCCTGCGTGGGGAAGGATGTTAAAGACATACAGAGTCCCAGATTCACACCTGGCTCTGCCACTTCCTTACAATTGGGGAATTTCTGAACCCCTCAGCAAAACTTCACTTTTCTCATCTGTAAAATGAAGGTTATAATCTCTGCTGCCCTGCCTCCGCCTCCTCCCCACTGTGGGGAAAAAGTTAGCGACCTAAGTGTGGAAGTGTGGTAGAGCTCTATCCTGTGAAGTAGGGTTTGGTCATGCTGGCTCTTCCTGTCTTGTCACCTTTCCCAATGCAGGAGCAGCACAAGGCTGGGCTCCCTCTCCAGCAGAGCTTAGTGTCTGCTGACCTCACTAGTTGACTCATTTGAAAGAAATGAGGACACAGTAAGTTTCTGGAACTAGCACCAGAAACAGGCTTAAAGGTGTTGTGGGTAGCTTTTGCCCCTTCACAGACTCCAATGAGGTGGGGAATTAGAAAGAACCGGTATCATAATTCAGTGATTCCCCAGGGAACCTTTAAATACCCTGGAACTGGGGGATTCTGACAGTACAGCCATGTGTGATGTGTGAATCTTGATTGAATCCTGATTCAAGCAAACAAATGTAAAGAAGTTTTTGAGGTAATTTGGAAAGGTGAAAACATACTAGATTTAATTTTGTTTGGTTTGATAATGGTTATATTAAAAGAAAGTCTCTGTTAGAGGCATATACTAAAGTATACACAGGTGAAATGATATTACACCTGGGATTTTCTTTAAAACACAACAGCCAAAAAATAAAAGTGGGAGGGGATTGTAAAATGAAGTTTTACAGTGTTGATCATTGAAGCAGGTGGTGGGTACCTGGGGATCATAATCATTCTTCATCCTTGTATGAGTATGAAATATTCCATAATGACATTTTAGGAAAAAAGAAAACCAATAATCAGAGATTTCCCAGGAGACCCTATTCCCCACCTTCCCTTGCTGAGTCTCTGTGGAAATTATATGAGACAATACACAGGTACTCAAAAAATCTTGATTTCTTTCCTCTCATTCCAAAACCCATCTTGGGGCAATGTTTACCAGCTCACCAGCCAGGAGTCTACTGCTATATTATGATCTGCATCTGGTTCATGCCTGGATTTCAAGAGCAAAGTCTTGACTCTTGTCCAAAGAAGATGTTAGCTGTTCTTGGAATGAGGTGGGTGAGGTTCTGTGATGGTACCCATCCACAGGTTCCAGGACCTTCCCACACATGCCATTAGTTCTTGGGATCTGGGGTCTGGGGCCAATAAATTGTCCAATATCAGGGAGTAAATATGGGAGTGCAACCCCGAGAACTGGGCAGAAGGGGAGCCAAAGGAGCAGGATATCTTCCTAGCACTTCCATTGGACAACAACCCTTTGAAAATTCATTTGTCTCTATCAGGGCTATAACTAAAACTTTATCAGCTAACAGTGCCTGGCACATAAAAGGGGGTCAGAATATTATTTTTCTTCTCTTCACATCTTATCAGTTAGCACAGATAGCCATTTGCTGACACCAGTCAAAATATAAGAATATAAGAGTGAGATAAAAAAATAGGTATGCAGAAAGCCAGGAAACTTTGGGGAGAGATACCAGGGCAGAGGAAACAGTGCTTCATGGGAAAGAGTTCAAAAATCTGAAGAGAAAAAAGGATGGAGAAGAATTCAACAGTTTCATAACTCTGTTTAGGCTGAGCTCTGGCTAAACCAATTTCTGACAGATTACCTGAGTGGCCAGCCCCTGACCCACACAATAACTTGGAATGTTCTCAAGCAGGAAGTCCCTACCTGAGCCTTGGAAGAGTCTGCTTGCAGCCTGAAGCAGCACCAAGGGCAGAAAACAATGCCCACTGTTTCCCAAACTTGCTTGAGCTTTAAAATCAGGATCTCCAGGGGAAGGGCCTAGAACCCATGTTTCTACAAGATCCTTAGTCGGTTCTTTATGATTGGATTGGTTAGGGAAACGCCAGGGATGAAGATGGTATTTCTCAAGGTGGCAGAACACCTGCATCAGAAGCACTAGGGGAATTAACTGATCAGGCCATGTGCAGACTCTGGACCCAGAGAATCAGAATGGCAAAAGGGTAGGGACCTGGAGCTTAGAATCTGCATTCTTAAAAGTGGTCTCTAGGTAATTTTGATGTGCCCTGCAGTTTGAGATCCATGAAAACTTAGCATGGTGGCTTAGAGTATGGACTCCAGAGTAATAATGCTCAGGTTTAAAGCCTTTATTTCACCACTCTCCATCTATGGGAACTTAATGGTTCTCTATGCCTCAGTTTACCTATCTATAAAATGGAGATACTAATGTCTACTTACGATATGAAAAATACTTGGTATGGGCCTTAAAACGTTAACATATCCACTGATTGTTATCTACTATAATTTAAAAGGTGAACCATTTCTCTTTCCTGCAGACTCCCACTGCATTTTCTTGGTATATCTGCCTCAGCCTTCAGGAGGGTCTGCCTTGTGGCTGTCATTATTTCTCTGGACATATTGTCTCGACTTCGAGAGAACAGAGACCATGTCTATTTTTATTATTTTTTTTAACATTCAGATCCTCCTGTGGTCTTTTGTATAACTTTGTATCCTGTCACATTAGAGTAAAAGATCACCTACTGCAGCTCTTGCTTTACACACAAGAATTCTAAAGGTGAATTTTTTTGTCCCTATAACATCATCAGGTAGTTGAACCACAGTGTTTGATCTCCAGTGCTTCCACCTACCACTTATGCCATTTGAGCCCTGAACTCTTCATCTTAAAATTGGGTATAATCAGGTATCCTTGCCTATGTACTAAGCAAGTGTCTTGTGAGTAAATATGTATAAGGAACACTAAAGGGTATTTTTAGTGTTACTGCACAATTTTGATTCCAGCTTAATGAATATTTATTGAATCATAGTGGTGCTGGGCAAGTTGTCCAAGGATCTGGAGTAATTATGACGCCTGTTAGAGTAACTGGGGCCAGAGCTGGCTGCTTTCAGCATCAGTGCCTTTTTACCTTGTTCTTCAGCTTCTGAAACATTTTATCTTATTCTTGACTTAACCCTGCCTGAGCTCAACTAGTCCATCTCCTAAGCAATCTGACCAATCTCTGTGGCTCTGGCCCTAGCAGTTGAATATCATCAGAGATCACAGTTCCCACCACTCGAGTTCTTGGTTCTTGGACAAGAAGCTCTAGAAAGCAGGAATTTCATCTATGGTGGTCACTGAGCTCTTCTTTGGAGCTTCTTTCTCTGACAACCAAGCGACCACCCATCCCCTCATGGCCTTACCATCATGGTTGGCATTTCCTAGCGTCCACGGCTCATCTGAATCAAAGTGAGTGTCTCCTCCAATCCCAGGGCCAGGGAAGTAAGCGTGGGCCAGGAATCCTCCTTCCCCATCAAATGGGGAGCTATCACCATGGAATCCAGAAGCAAAGAAGATCATGATGTCTGCCTCCTTCCGGTCACTTTTGATCTCATGGTATGGCACCTCTTCAAAGGTCAGTGGGGTCACCTTCTGCCACACATCAAAAGCCTGGCGAATAGCTTTCCGAGTGTCTAGCTCACCCACCTTTGGGGTATAGTTGTGAATGCTGGCAAGAAAGGGGAAGATTATTAGTGGGGGACAGAGAACCAGGGACAGGAGAGCTAAAAGAGATGTAAGAGACAATACAGCCTAGTGATCCCCACCATTTGTGTCCTAGAGAGTACTCTAGCTGCCCCAGAGGTCAAAGAAGGGCCTAAGTAGATAGAACTCTGAATACCCACCACATGCATCAGTCAGAATAGCTTTGTTTTAATCATTGTTTTCATTTTATCTCTGACAAAATTTGTGATGAATAAAGGATTTCACTCCACTTTGTAGGAAAAAAATAGGTTGGTTGATAGCATTTTCTAAAGATTTAATTTTTCCTCCCAACACATAACATAGCTACATTTATAATAGTTATAAAAAATATTTCAACAGTAGAGAGGAGTTTAAGAGAAAAGTCTCTCTAAAAAAATCTTGGGCACCAACTACAGCTTGTCTACCTAGAAACTGGTATAGGGCGGTATCTAATTTAATCCATTATAGATTTAGCTATTTAAGGTTACTCTATCCATATTGCATGATTCTCCTCAAAGGAACATCGCTACTTATGAATACTCTGCCTCATGAAAGTCTGGGGCACCAATTACCATACCCTTTTTATAAGTAAGGAAAGAGAGGCCCAGAGAGGTGGGGTAATAAAAGTTAAAGTCAGAGTTGGGTTAGAACGCAACTTCTTTCTCTTGATCCACTTAATCTCTTCAGGAGACCCAAGAACCTAGCCACTTTCTAACCTAGATTCTTCTTAAATTTATTTTTCTTGTCAGATTTCTTGGAAAAAGTCCTATTCTCAACAGCTTGTCAGTAGGAGAGCCCTTAGTTTAACTCTAAGGATTGCTGTCTTAGGTCCTTCCCCTGTATCCAGGGAATCCACCAAAATGGAATCAGCACTTTGAGAGGTGCCACTGAGAGCCCACCCGAGCCTGCCCTATGCCTGGTCCTTGCCCCAGTCCCACTTGAATTCTGGTTTCTGAATTTGCTGTGATGAGCTCCATCATCTCTGCTCTCAGTCCACTTGGTCTGACTTGGATACTGATCCTGCTCTGCCTTGACCTCCCAGACAGTCAAGGAATGACACTGATGTGATTCAGGTTCTTATTTTTTATATTCTTTAAGAAACAACTGGGATTCTGGGTTGGCAATCTTGGGTGAAAACTATCAGGCTAATTTGGGGTGGAGAATGGATCTAGATCAGAGGAAGTGGAGTTTGACAAGCACTCACAGGGAGAACGAGTTCTGCCATGGGTCCTCATATAGCTGAGAGTTACTGAACAGTCCAGACTCCACTTTCTGTAACTAAATACTACAGGTGTCTGAACAGAATACAATTAATGAGCCCCCAAAGGACGAGGTCAATTTGAAAACCTAAAGTTGGAGTCAGCATCCTCTAGAAGCCACAAGGAAGGAAAAGTCACAGGCTCTCAACATCTGGTCCTAATGCCCACGCAAATGGACCTTGTCCAAACTCCAAACATCTACTGTGTAAGCTTCTGATATTCAGATAGGAAAAACAGAGCGGGCATGGCACCATGGCCAGGGATGGAGAGGGAGTCAAGGCACCTGTAGGTGATGTGTTTTTGCCTCCACTTCTGTCCAGTCAGGGCATAGCGCTTGTTTCTCCGCCTTCGGCTCAAGTGGGGGTGATCAGGGACACCGCATCGGGGTTTCTTCATCCATCTGGGCAGAGAGAAGACATACACACAAATATATTGTGGTCATTTCACTCTTGAGGAAAGTACTGCATAGTCCCCAGTCCCAGTCTGAAAGACAGTGTGAATCCCCGTCCTCTGGGATCCTGGCTCAGAATGACTCCCAACAGGAATTTGATTGATAGATTGATTCATTCATTCATTTGCAACAAAATATGAAGAAACATTGCTGAATATGAGATTGGGAATAAGGAGAACTGGCTTAAGTTCCAGAACTGATAAGTTCCAGCTCTACCCCTAATCTAGGACCAGGCAAGTGACTTGAGAATTATAGTTCTTGCTGTTTGTAGGTTGCAGAGAGTTTCAAAGGGAGGAGTGTATGTGAAAAGTCTCCCTAAACGCAATTAGTTCACGGCCCTCCATGGGGTAAAGCCTTCAATGACTTCCCAAAACATCTAGAACAAAATCCAAACACACTGGCCAACAGGTCTGGCCCAATCTAGCCCTGCCTACCTGTTCAACAGCCATCATCCTTTGCCCCTCATACACTGTGCTCAGTCATCAATCTTCTTGCGGTTCCTTGGACTTGCTAAGCCTATGCCCACTCCATGGTCTTTGCATTTGCCATTTCCTCCACTTGCAACACTTCTTCTTCATTAGGCCTCTGCCCTTCAAGAGGACTTTCCTGCCCCTCTTATCGGAAATAACCTCCCCATCTCATCCTATCCACTTATCTTGCTTAATTTTCCTTCATAGCATTCATCACTCCCTGAAATTATATATTTGCATTCTTTTTTATTCTTTTTCTCTCCCATCAGATTCTGAGCTCCATGAGGATGGGAACATTTTTTGTATCCCCAGGGCTGGCATAGTGCCTAACACAGAAGGAGCTGAGTAATGGTTTGTTAAGTGACTGACTGACAAAATGAATGAATCAGAACTCTCCACCAGGAGGATGGCAATCCGCTAAACTACACCTCAGCATTGCTGGAAGGAAAAACAGTCTGACCTCATTTCCAGCTGTTAAAAGCAGTTGCCATTGGCAATGTGAAGACAAGAAAACAGGCTATTTTGATCAAATATTAAAAGACCCTTGATGGAATTAACCAGGTTTTACTCATCTTTGTGTGCTTTACATTGCTTAGAGAGTGAACCATACTCATAAACCAATGATAATAGATATAATGATAGCAATACCATTCCTTGATCTAGACATTTATAATTTTCACAGTATTACTATTCTTTGAGAATTTTATTTTTATGAGACATAGTTGCCCAGGCTGACCTCAAACAATGCGACAATTTCTTTAGATTTTTATTTTCCACCAGGTGAGGTGGCACATGCCTGTAATCCCAGCAGCTCAGGAGGTTGAGGCAGGAGGATCCCAAGTTCAAAGCCAGCCTCAGCAACTTAGTGAGGCCCTAAGCAGCACAGAGAGACCCTGTCTCTAAAAGAAATATAAAAAAGGACTGGGAGCCAGGCGTGGTGGCGCATGCCTGTAATCTCAGTGGCCTGGGTGGCTGAAACAGGAGGATTGAGAGTTCAAAGCCAGCCTCAGTAAAGAGCAAGGTGCTAAGCAACTCAGTGAGACCCTGTTTCTAAATAAAATACAAAATAGGGCTGGGGATGTGGTTCAGTGGTCAAGTGCCTCTGAGTTCAATCCCCAGTACCCACCCCCCCAAAAAGGGCTGGGGATGTGGCTCAGTGGCTAAGCCCCCCTGGGTTCAAATCCTGGCACCAAAAAAATAAATTTTTTTTTCCTATACTGGGGATTGAACCCAGGAGCTCTCTATCACTGAGCTACATCCCTAGAACTTTTTATTTTATTTCAAATTTTGAGAGAAGGCTTTGCTAAATTTCCCAGGCTGGTTTCAATCTGCAATCCTCCTGCCTTGGCTTTCAGAGTAGCTGGTATTACAGGGCGTGTACCACTGTGCCTGGCTTGGAAGTTTTGATTCTTAAAACAATCCAGTGAGGCAATGAGAAATTATTATCCCCATTTTCAGGCAAAGATACAAAGATAAATCAAGTAACTTGTAAAACATTGAAAACAGCAAGGCAGGACTGGAACTTAGCTAAATGAATAAGCTATTAATTAATGTAATTTATCAAACAAAGACTGGAGTTTTTATTTTTTTCTCTTAAAACCTAGCACAAGGTTGAGCTAGATGAACTATGCTGTTGACAGAATGAATGAGTGATTGAATAAATGTGTGACATTTCCCAAGGTAGACATTCAAAAATAGTACTTGAAATTGCTAATCTAGTTTCCTTTTACCAACAGTCCCTGGGAAGAGAACCAAGAGCCACCTCTACTGCTGAAAGGCTGGGCCAGACTGGAAAGACCCCAGGGAAGGAAATAGGCCCAGAGAAAGGCAGCAATTGCCCAAGGTCACAGAGTTGGAGCTAAAACTCAGGTCTCTGAATTCTACCCCAAACATCCATCCCACTCTGGTGTGGATGGAGAGCAGCCTCCTCCTTCACATGCTTCCAGAACACTGCTCCCTGCCTTTCTACAAAGAGTTGCAGGAAGAATTGCAAATGGGAAATGCCATCCTCTTCCCTCAGATACTTCGCTCTGCCTCCCCCTTTCCCCGTCCACCTGCTACTCTCTGAACCTCATCCAACAGGCCTGGGGTGTTCTGGAACGTAGCAAAATCTAAGGCCAGGTGGTGCCTCAGCAGAGATACCAGTGCTCCTGGCCCAGGATGCACTGCCATGAGGCCTGTGCAAAGCCCTCAAAATAACCTCTGCCTGGAAAGACAGTCAGGTTTTCTAACCAGCTCACTCGTGAGACTACAGGGCCAAAGGAGTCCACACACATCATAGGAGTCTTCAAACATACTATCTCAGAACTTCACAGTCTCACAATCAAAAATCCTAGGAATAGTAAGTGTTTGAACAGAATTTTAGGATCATAAAATTCCCAGACTCACCAATTTTTAAAGCTTAGAAGCTTAGAATAATGGAATCTAGAATTTGAGAGCCATAATCCAACACTCCCCTTTGCAAATGAACATGCTGAGATCAGAGAGATGATTCGGTCACAGAGTGACTTTCCAAAGGGATGAACTGATCCTTGCTCCACAATTGGGTGCATTGCCTATTCTGATCCTTGCTAACTCTCTTGTCATCTGCTTCCACCTGAGCTTGGGCTCTGATCCTTTACCACCACCTTTGGAACTTCACTCCAGTTCTTTCCAATCGAGTGAATGGCTTGTTGTCTCCTATACTTTTTTTTTTTTTCTCCTTCCCAGTATTGAGAATTGAAGCCAGGGGCACTTTACTACTGAGCCAGATTCCCCCCGATCTTTTTATTTTTGATTTTTAAATAGGATCTTGCTAAGTCATAGAGTCTAGTTTCAAGCTTGTGATGCTCCTGCCTCAGCCTTCCAAGTTGCAGGAATAACAGGCGTGCACCACCACACTGGGGGTAAATTGGTCTCTCAAACAGCTTGAATAGCTTCTGTAGATATTTCTCAAACAAACAGAAACAAACCCTAACTCTCTCCCATCTGAAACAAAACTTCATTCCTCTCTGGCTATCACCCATTTCTCCTTCCCTTCACTCTTGGGCTTCTCAAAAACTTCCCCTCCTCACCTTCTCCTCACTGCCATCTGACTTTGTCTCCAGCATTCTGCTGATCTTATTGATAATCTATTATTAAATCCAGCAGGTGCCTTTCAGTCACTGTCCTCTTGGAGCACTCTGCAGCAGCTGACCCTGCTGACTGTGTCTTCTTCACTGCCACACCATCATGTCACTGAGGGCTTCCTCCACCTCTCTAGCTGTCCATCCCCACATCTCTTCTCTCTCCTCTTTGTGCCTTCCCTAAGTGATAGCAACCATCCTCATGGCTTGATTGATTTGCTCCCCCCTCCTAAGTATCTCCCTGAGACTGTCCCCTAGGACTGGTGTGGCCAGATGACTATGCTTTTCACTACACCTTAAGCCTCTGGAGGGCAGGATGCCAGGGCTAAGCATACTGCGTGGCACACACAGGCACTCAGCATAGGTTTCATAAATGGGAAAAGTGGAACAAGAGTTGCGAACCCATTATCATCCAAGACTTTTCTGTATCAAGTGAGATAGGTACATCTCAGGGAAGTCCAGTAGAACCATGAGTTATTGAAACCAGAGGAGATTTAAGAGACCTTCTACAGCACAACCCTTCAGTGTACTGACAAAGGAACTCAGTCCCAGAAGGATCAAGCAACTTGTCTCCGAGGCCACACAGCAAGTTGATGGCAGAGCTGGGACTTCCATTCCAGAAAACCCCCAGCTTACACAGGAAAGGGCACTTTGGGGTATTCCCTCCCAGGATGGCACTGCAGGAGTAAAAGATAAGAAGGCAGGATGGGAATGGTGTGTGCAAAAGGCCGTGACAAACGGGAACCCAAATATAAGTCCAGAAAGTTCAAAGGCACAATGTCCTAAGCAAGTCTTACTCGATCGTTGTCTGATCCAACACACCGGTGACTGGGATCCCGTAAAACTGCTGCATAGTGGAGACTGCTGACTGTAAGGCCTTCCCTGAGTGCAACGCAGATGCCCGTGAATCATAGGGAAGCAGATAGCCATATGACTTTAACCAGTTCTGAAAGACATGTGAGAGAAAAGGATGCATTATGGGGAGAAGGCTCTGTTCTATCTGGGCAGAGTTTCGCCCTTAAAACTAGGGATCATTTTACCCAAGCCACTTATGGATTCCTGCTTTGATTTCTTCCTCCTTCCTCCTCCTATCCTGGAGACAATGTCAAATTAATCTCCAGAAAACACAGCTTTTGTTGGCTCACTCCCCTGCCGTCAACTGTTCATTAAATCTCTACTGGCTACAGAACAAATTTGCATTCAAAGCTTTCCCCTGCCCTGCCTCTTACTTCAATGATTCAGTACTTTCCACTGATACAAGATTCACATGCAAGAGTACAAGAACAGTTCATTTTCTGAAGTAGAGTAGTCTGGGGAAATTTTTGCACCAGAAATCCTTCCTGTCTCAAGTCAGAGTCTGATGAAGAATTACATTGGTAGAGTATCTATTGGCAAGAAATTATATAATTTTTTATTGCTAAACCACCTCCCCTCTAAAGCAAGTCATTATAAATAAATATAAATAAATAAAACAAAGCCTTCTTTGGTTTAAATATAAATAAATAATAGATGCATAGAAAAAAAACTATTATGTAAGAGAATTTCTTGTTTTTAGAAACTATACACTGAAGTATTTAGGCTTACATAAAGGTGCATGATGTCTGCAACTTGTTCTTAAATGTGTTCAAAAATAAATACATAAATACATTCAGAGAGATAGCTAGATAAAACAAATATAGTAAAATGTTAACAGCTGGGGAATCCAGGTGAAGGAAATTTAGGAATTTTTCCCCCATTCTTGAAAACTTTTCTGAAAGTCTGAAATTATGTCAATGACATTTCTTATTTTTATTTTTGCAGTTCCAGGAATTGAACCAAGGGCCTTACACACGCTAAGTGCATTCCTATCACTGAGCTACACTCCCAACCCCCTTTGAAATAAAAAAAAAAAAGAGAGAAAGAAAGAAAAAATTTCAAACAGCAGGAACAGAGGAGGGAAAGAGGAAGTAGTAGGGATTGAAATGGATGAAGCTATGTCATATGCATTTATGAATGTCAAAATGAACCCCATTATTATGTATAGATATAATGCACTAAAAAATTAAATTAGCTGTGAATATCTTTGGTTAGAGTATCACGGGGAACTGGGAGTGTAGCTAAGCAGTACAGCACTTGCATAGCATGTATGAGGCATGGATTTGAACTGCAATACCACAAAAATGTTTTAAAAAGTTTTTCAATGGTAGAATATCAAGAAAATTCTGACTTTTGTTCTTTTTGTTTTTTTTTCTGTTTTCTAAGTTTTATGCATAGAGTCATATTTTTTTTAAAAGGAGAAAAACTTTAAGAAGGCAAGAGAATCTAAAAAAAGTTAGGGTGAAGAAGCTCAAGCAAGCAATGATTCTGAAAGATACCAGAGTAAAGATGGTTATTCCCATCAAAAAGATCAAGGAGCAAAAACATGAAGAAATGGGAGCATTAGGAAATATTTGTGGTATCCTTTAGAAAATAAGGAAAATATCCATATGTTTACAGAATCCATAAGCATTTTCAGGAGCGTTTTTAAAGCCAGACTTTCAGCCAGAAAACCTTATTCTCTGCCCATGTTCAGAGGAACATCTCAATACTGAGTGAATAAAGGGAAAATCCCCCTGGGAAATGGTATCATTCCCTTTCTATCTATAATTTTTGTTTCTTGTTTCTATATGAACCAGCTTATTGTGGATATGTCTTTTATTATAAGTCAAATCAAATTATTTTTGGAAGAAGGCATACCGGAAACTAGAAATAAGTTATTCTTTATTTCACCAAAGGTGACTATAATATCTTCACTGCCTTGTGATAAAATTCATCTGACTGATTAGAAACAAAATTGTCAGAATAATAAAGTCAGAGTGACAACCTGACTTCTCTCGCATTTGGAATTGGAACATGTTTTTCATTCTGAGTGATGACACAGAATTGCAATACTTCTTGCATTTCACCAAACATTGATTCTTTTTTCATGTCTTTGTACATGTTTTTCTCTCTGCCTAGTATTCTTAATTTGGTCAGATTTTAATGTTCAGCTCATAAATTACTACCTCTGGAAGACTTCCCAGGCTAAGTTATTTTTCCTCTCCTCTGTGCTACCCAAATTCTCTATTACAGATTTTATGGATCTTATAATGCTAGGCTCCAATCATTACATATCAATCTCCACCAGACTGTGACTAAGCTCCTCAAAGAAAGGGTCTATGTCTTATTCATCTCAGTATATCCAGTGCCCAGGACAGTGCTTGGCACACAGTAGCTGTTTAGTATGTCCATTCAACAAATATTATTGAGCATTTATTACATGATAGGCACTGTACAAGGTTCCTTGGATACAATGATGAAAAAGGGAAACTCACGGACTGACAAATAAACCCATACATATAGTGCTACAAAGCAGGTGTGTTCTATGGAAGAAAAGACAGGAGTGTCTTATTGTAGGGGCAGAGGGGTAAGGAGAGCTCAGGGAAGTCATGCAGATGGAGGTGAGATTTGAGCTAAGTTTTTACAGCATGTGCAACTCCCTGGAGGTCGGGGAGAGTGTGGCATTTAAATTCTGAGCAGTACTTAAATTGGCTAGGACTTTGGGGGTGGTAGTGGTGGCAATGAGCGAAGAGGTTGTAAAGGAGGAAGTAGCAAGAGATGACATACAATTACCTGTTCACAAAGTAGACACATTACAGAAAGTCCTGCTGTGCAC